TTTTTTTATTATTCAAACACTTTATTGCGCCAATTATAATTATTATTCGCCAAATAAGATTTTGGATATTGAACATGTAGCCCATGAATTTAAACAAAGTAGGGATCTCGCTGATTCCTCGCATAATATATTTCTATGTTTTGTTATAATTAATCCTGCTGTAGAGAATAACCTTTTCGATGGAACGGACGTTGCGCAAATACTTAAGCGTCGTCTACAATACACGGAGTAAGAAGAATAAAAAATTGACCAATTACAATCAAATCTGAGAAGAATAATCGATTGTAATTGGTCAATTTCTTATTCTTACTTCTTACTTCGTGTATTGTAGACAACGCATTATTTAAATTGTCGAGAATTTCGAGACAAGACAGAATTTTCAAGTTCGAGACAAGAATGTACATTTCAAAATTTTTTCAAGACAAGACGATATTTCCTAAAATCTCGTCTTGTCTCGTCTTGCGGCATCCCTACGAATTAGTAAAAATTTCCAACTAGTTTGCTACCAAGTTTATTATTATATACAATGTAAAATAAACAATTAGAAAACTTAATCATAAAATACGGTTACTTAAAAATGATATATCTATGTCAAGTTTTAATATTGGCTCTTTTTTCTTCGTACGCTGGAACGACGCGATATGTTTATTGGCACACGTCCACTGTAGAATGTAAAGAAAACGGGATACTAATATTTCTGTTTACTTGACATGTATCATTTTCCATTTTACCCGGCACGAAATTTTATGTTCATGAGAAACTTCTATCTAACATTCTTGTACGCGACGAGTTATATGGTGGTACCATTTCTGACAAGGTAAGCCATGCAATGTGTCAACGAAAACAGTTTCTACCAGCTATATACAATCTAACTCTGAAAATTGATGCACAAGATAGCAATTTGGAGTGATTTTTTGACACTTCTTTGTCAGATGTGTGAGTTATTACATACTCGGGAATGCCGCCTGCAGGGATATCTTCTTTAATCTCATAAGTTTCTTTGTATATTTTATAGAAATAGAAACAATAGTGATATTTATTGTATTCAATTTCTATCCATTTTTATACATTTCAAATTTGCAATATTTATTTTTAAAAAATATAGAGACAATCTTTTGGTTGCAGCTCGAAACGATGTTTCTTATGTATTTTATATAGATCATGAAAGATGAATAAGGATAGGTTGGCGCCCACTCACAATCGATACATTGGATTGATCATGTTGGTCTTTTTGAGACCAATAATTTTCATTAAATTTTTAATAAAGAGGGGACATATATGATTAGAAAGTTTTTAAAAGATTGTACTTATTGAAATAAAACCAAATCGCTGATATTATTACACTGTATTAATACAATAAAATATTTCAATGTTTTAAAAATACATCTTGCTTTTCGAACGATTTTGAGCAAACAATACGATATTGCGGTATCATTGAAGCAAATATCGGATTGACGCCTCACGTGCACATATGTGCATGTTATTACATCTTGATATTGCGCTAGCCTAATGTGTACCGGGTGGTCCTAATTTCTCGAAAAACAATAACATTCAAACACGATTTATTGGCGTACGTTTTATTAGATCTCGCGTACATATTTACAGTTAAAAGAGAGTTAATAAAATTATAAAAATTCGAATCAAAATTGTAATAGAAATAATAGAATGCATTACTATCTTTAGTATTAAAGCTAGTAACTACTTATTTTAATTAAGAAAACTTTTAAACAGTTTATGTTAAAGTAAACATTTCCATTGTACATCTATTTAAACATAAACATGGCATATTTAAATAATGTACATGTAAATTGTAAATAATAAAGCGTTAATCGTGAAAGGACTAGAAAAATTTACCAATTTAAGATTTGGTTGACAATTCTATTCAGCAAATCAACCTGGTTGCCGATATAGCGAATGTAATCGTTGATGCACTTTTGACCTGTGCGACCTTTCGGCCCAACGCGACCTTTTGTGCCTATATTTCCCATCTCCTGCAAAATGAGATTAATGTCGTTTATTGGTACGAATATCGAGTCACTATTTATTACGTCAGTAAACTTTATTCATAAAAGTCGAATCTAATGTTGAATTATTGTACCTATGTCTTCCATATATTTTAATTATATAATAAAAAGCATGATTTTAAAAACTATTTATTTACATTCTATTTGACACGTATTGTCGAACCGTGATATGTACATAAATTGGTCCAAGCGGAGCATTTGACACTTTCCATTTGCATATCGACATAAAGATACCGTGTTGTGGGCTTCAAAATGCATAATAATATTCGAATCACAAATGACAGGTATCGACTGTATTTTGTGTCGTGCGCGAGTTTGAATTTCTCATTTACATGTCAATATACGTTTTTCCATTCATTTTATTAACTTTATTCGTTTTGCGTATTCTCTATTGTGTGTATTTACATCGTGTATGCAATATATCTAATCTATGTAAAAAGACATAAAAATTTATGAAACAGATGAACTTTTTCTATAAAAATCATGAAAAAGAAAAATAATACTAAGAACTAGTATTAACTAATTTTGCTATAATTAAACTTTGTTAAAATTACGCTTCTTTTTTTGATTAAAAAAAAATGAACATTATCTCAAGTACTTATTATTCAGAATTCGTAAGTGCTATAATTTACAAATTCCGCGCGACTGATATTGGAATTGAATCGATAAATCGTTCAATACACGTAGTATTATCGCGAACATCGGTCTTTTTACGCGTTGGACGTATCGGAGAGTTAGTCAAAGCAGAGAAGCGAGCTGCATCCTCGCAAAAATTCAGTACGACGCTTCTTGCACGGCTGCCTTTGTATCGAGCGTTCGTGCGTGCGAACTCATAGCGAGTGCATGCTGATGCGCATGCACGACGGCGTATGCACACGCCGAGTTCATTTGTTATCGGTACAATGGACAGTAGAGGATTGCCTTACTCCCCATATATTCACCATGTGTAGAGCTTCCTGATTCTCGTACACGAGATATGCGTTTCTCGTACCTGCGATATACTTACTCGGGTGTAATAAGCGTCACGTTAATCACGTTAAATCGCGCAGATTATTTTCTATTATAGTCTCACATAAACGCGCGTGTATCTACGTAAGATGATAAATATTAAAAATTTAATTATCTCTGAAATGAATAGTGGAATGTATTATGTAACCGCAGATTATATTTAAAGCAGGTCTGTCCGAATATTAATCAAGGGATGGATGCTGACTTTTCAGTGTGTATACATATATACTTATACACGGCTAAGTGTTATAAAAGAAGTTACGGCACAATGAACAATTATAGATCTTACTTCTTTACAGAAAATAGTCTCTGCGATAAACTGTGTATGACAGATCTAATTTAAAGAATCCTGCGTTAATTTCTTCTTGAATAAAGTTTGCGAAACCGCCATTTATTCTCAACTAGAAACTTTGCAATTTTCAAGAAAGATTATATGTTCTGTCAATCAAAATTCGCTTCAAGTCTTTATTAAGGTAACTAGAATATTCGTTAGAGCTATTTAGCCCTTTGAAACTGAAATCGCAGAAAGACTAGAATAGTTTAATTTCCAATGATAATTACCTTCGTAATTAAGACTCTTATTAAGATTTCATTAAAGAAGAATCGATTTCGAATTCATCAAAGTGTGCGCAATTGAAAGAGAATGTAATTATCATTTTAATTACTAGCAGATTTTTTAAACTTTTCATGAGCTCTGCTATAATATTCGTTGGAAGCAATGTATGTTTCTGAATATTTCACCAATTAATTCTGATTTTAGATGCAGAGAGCAGTGCTGCTGCTCTGTTGGCTGCCGCTCCTCAACCACTGCCACGCCGTAAATCCAGGTAAATTGTATCGATCAATTTCTAAAACGGCGACGTCGCGTCGGCGAGCATATATTGCAGATAGGCGTTATTTGTCGTGTTACTCCATGTGAAATCTCGCGGATTCACGCGCAAAGGAAGCTAGATTTTATTATTCCGGATAGACGATTCCTTCTCCGACACGCCTCGGCGCGAAACGGATTACTGTTAACACGAACCGATATTGCATACGTCGGTTTAAGGATCCGTTATCGTGCGAACGTAAGCCGCATTTACGTGGCGCATCGGGCTTAACGTATAGCCGGACGTTAGGTGCCCGAACGCATTAGTATCCAGGCAACGTGTCCGACAAAAACAATGCCCCTGTTACCACAAGCTGCCGGCTTCGGTCAGCTAGCCAGTTCTGTTGGCGAAGTCACGAATTGCAGGAATACACGCGTCTTGCTTGTTTTCTCATGTATGTTACATACGAGATATATGTAATCGTAATCGTCGATAACACTTATAGACATATGATTTTAACAAATGAAAATGTAAAATGCCTACTTAAATATAGGACACGAAACGTAAAAGAGGCAAAAGAACAGTTACTTATTTTCAAAGCAAAAGATACACCACCCAAGGACTTTCGCGATTCTTTCCCTCGGTTACTTTTTTAAAACTTTCAAAAATTCAGGTTATTTCGTCTTTATCGTCAATTTAGTTCTAAGCGCGGGACATAAAGTTTAGTCGTGTCGTTAATCCTGCACGGACTATGAGCATTAATGTAGAAAAGTGGTCATTTCTTCATTTGTAAAAATTTCCGAGAGAAAGAATCAAAGTCCTTGAGTGTACATGTCATGTCATGTTCATGGAATCGTATGTCTTTCAAAATTAATTTTGGGAGCGAAGCAAAGAAAAAACCATGTTTGCTGCGATTTTTGGAAATGGTTGCTTTCCAGTATACTTTTTCTTTTTTAATAATTGTACATTAGCAATTGCAATGGCTATGCATCGCTTCTGAATCTCTGCTGCAGCTATTATACGTAATTACTACATTATACGGGTATATTCTTTTACATATCCGATATATTCTCATTTTCGTAATCCATTTTTATTAAAATGAATTAAAAGCTAGCGAAAATAAATGAGTGAATTCGTTAATTTAAACTAGCGAAGATACGCTCCATGAAAAGGAAGCAGGAGAAGAGCGAACTGCTTTTGAACGCTGCTTTGATTGTAGTGAAGTGGGGGTAAAAAGCCAGCTTTCCTTCGCTGCATGAAATTGCACCTTAAAGCTATAAGTGCCTTAGAACTATGTGCAATTACCCAATTTCCTCTTTAGCCAATACTTTTCGTAATATTTATATAATAATTATGCTATATAATACAGTCTGAGAAAATGGTCTCATTAGATTAAATAGTAATTCTAGTGGAACATTGATTGAGATAACTAGAATTCTGATTGATATATCATTATTCTGGTAAAAATATAAATAGAATTCTAGTAGATTTTACCACGAATATTGTATCGACCAGAATTCCCGTTATTTCAACTGAAATTCTAATAAAATTAAAAAGAAAAATCTTCGTCCATTTTCAATCAGAAAATTTTTTTAGTGTAATGCACCTAAGATTCATAATTCGTATATTTTTATAACAACGCGTGGGTATAGTATCATTACTAAATTAATAGTACTATTATCCTCGATAGTCTAATGACTTAGGACGCTCGTATGGAATAGAAGAGATCCGGGTTCAAGTCCCGGCCGAGGTAATATTTTTCACAATAAATTTATTAACAGTTTCAAAATATCAACATCCTTATAATACGATGCTTGATGATAGCATTAAATTATTAAATAATTCGCGATTACTAGAGTAGTTTTAATTTCGTTTATAGTCCGGAAAAACAATTCGGCGCGCAGTTTGAAAAAGACTACAATATGATATATATACAAGTATACATATATAGTATATATTAGTAATTCAAGATTGAATTATTTAAAGCAATGAAGATCCAGCTTCGACACAGTAATAGGTATTTTAAATTTCTAGTGTTATAATATAGATGTACCAAGCATTATACACGGAGATTTTATTTGTGCGTGAGGCGAGCCTATCTCTCTCTCTCTCTCTCTCTCTCTCTCTCTCCCCCTCTCCTTTTATGCAATTTTATTAGTGATATGTTAAAACTCGTAATACTGAACTCGCGTATCTTGTAATGATGCGTTTTGTACGGAGTCGTAGAAGTGAGCTATTATAAAAATCCATACGCGAATGTTATTCGAAGTAATACCGTATGTCGAGCGTTGCTCGCAGCTATAACATTATCGTATATACGTATATTTGCATTTTCCTCGTATGGATGGATAGAAGCGACGCATGAGCGAAATGTCTACAAAAAAGAGCGTTTAGTTATACGTAATGTACTACATCATATGACGTCAAATGCAGACGCTGAATTATATTCAGCTTGATGGATCGTTTGGTGTGACTGGTATTCATTGCTTTAGTAGGCAACTTCAAACCTGGCTCATAAATCAGACATTGATACAATGCAAAATATTTTTCAAGCCAAAGTTTAGCGTGATAATCAGCGTATTCTCAGTTTAACGCTTAATGAGACACAATAAATTTATGTACTTTTCGCAAGTTTCGATAAAACTTTTATCACGCATCTCTTTAGACAGCCAACAGTTTATTAAAAAAAGCAATTATTAACAAACATAACGTCTACGTATAAATTTAATATAAAAAATTATGGGTAATTTTGGGGTAATAGAGAGAATTCCGTGAATACCGTATGCAGATAAAGATCATTAAAGCGTATTCGTGCGGATCAAGTATACGCGAGATTCGCAATTTTTCTGACAATGAAAGAAGAATAACGAGCTTGGTTATACGCGCGTCGTATAACTGACCAACGTACGTTACGCGGTGAGTGTATCACATTTAATTTGGTCGAGCATGCGGAGCGCACGATATTCATTGCTTCGGTCGGCATCATTGAGCCCGTTACGTAGATACGTGTGCATCACACACATGTGGTTAATAGCACGTAACAAACGACTCTCTTCATCTCCCTTTTTTCCTTCGGTCTTCGTTCTATAACACGTTTTCGCGGGTATCTGTCGCTCAAGCGCATGCAGTGGAAATATTTCGATGGTTTTAACTTGTCAACGTCTAGCAACGCTCGGGTTCATCGAGCAGAATTGCTGAAAATTCCGTCGGTAGCTGGAACACGAGCGATACGTTAATTTCTCACTCTCGTTTGTTACTACTATGTAACGTTCTGTCGTCACGTCCGAGCGCTCGGGATATCACGTTGTACTCTCGTGGAAGCAAGTTTAGATCTAATCAATTCGGTCGTCACGCGCCGGAGAATAATTTTGCTCAGTTTCCGCAGGAATAGCCGGAGAAATCCCGTTGTGGCTGCAGGGCAAAAGTTCGCTATTACGATCTTAGACCGAAGCTAGAATATGCTCGCTTTCGGCTTGCCGGAAGTTTAATAATACGGCTCGTGGAAAGCGGCAAAACTTCGACCCAGTCTATATCTCGTCGGATTTGCTCGCGTACTCGTGTTACACAAGCAAGTACACCGATCTAAGAGTAATATTCATTAAAGGGGTCCAGCACTGTGTGAGGGATACTTGTGAATTCTGGCTGCTGCGCTTACAGCGTATATTTAAGTTGCAATCGTCGTGCAATTACAAACTTTTCCGAGTTTATCTTTCCGAGTTCCGGAGTGCAGCGCTTACGCTTACGCGTTAGATTTTTCGTACAATTCGGAAATTGAACTCGGGATTGCTTTTCGATTAAGCATGCAGTTAATAAAAATTTGGAATTTCCACTTTTTCGTGTTTTTAAATGCAATCGGTGTTCGATCCTCCTCAAGCTCTAGTGTTTCACAAGCATGGCGAAACAGATAATAGATGTAATCGTCTTGGGATTATCCATCGGATTATATCATTTGCGTTCTACATGGAAAATGTGCACAATTTAGATGTGTAGCGTGAATATAGCGAGTGAAACAACATGTTAACTGCATTTACATAAGCCGCATTCTCAGTCGAACGTATACGATCGACAAAAACAGTTTGCTGAAAAGGTAGTCTTATTTTGAGCTTGTAAATTGTACAACTCTTGGAAATAGCCTCGCCCTTCTCCGATTTCCGGATAACGTGTAAACGTGCAGGCGACACTGGTATACTTTTAACTGCCTTTCCCAGGAACACCGGCACCGCAAGCACCGTAACTCAATCGTATGTAAATTGCCAGTGGTGTAATCTCGTAAAGCGGCTTAACGTTACGACGAAAGTTTCGCAACATGCTGGAGGTGGAGGAGGAGATATCCAAAACTCGCGATATAAATTGACGTAATTCTTTATCCAAGGTAACACCTGGAACACAAGGTCAATACCTTTCAATTGATCCGGACTATACTTCTTAACCTTATCCGGTCGACTGCTTTCTACCCTATCGATCTTATCAAGTGGAAACTACGAGACCTGAAACCAGGGCCGATCAATTGGCAATAGTGCGGTTTCATTGCGGACTGCTACTCCGATTGTTTGATGACCTCATGTTGTTACCTAAGTTGCACCAAACTTTATCTGGCTTCCGAGTAGTAATTTCGGTGCCAACTTAAAGTTTATCTCTTGTGTCTGTCATTCTGAAAGGCATCGCGATTATGGCTTGGACACGCTAGAAAATAATACAGAAACGTGTAGACGTTTATATGCTATTATACACTATTATGTAAAATTTCATGAAAATAATAATTATCAACGTAAATTATTCTACGGTCTCAAAGTTCTATAATCTAGAAACCATGGAATCTTTTCCAAATTTATTTAACGTACGTGCAAAATAAAGAAAGGATTTCAATATTTATGAGACAAAGTAAAACCAAGCGATTTGAGCTAGGTTTAATAAAAATCCTTATTCTATAAATAATGTATTAAACCTAGCTTAAATTGCTTGTTTTTATTTTTTCTCATAAATATTTGCATCTTTTATTTATTTTATATTAAGCGTAT